GGGAGCCAGAGAGAGGGGGGGACAGTGGAAAACACTGGGGTATCCCAGCGGTCCCTGCTCCCTTGACCCATGCTCACCTGAGCTGCGCCCACTTTCCTGTTCCAAGCTCAGGTCTCCCAGCTGCTGGCCCAGGTCCCAGATGAGTCCAGGCAAGGCCTCCTGAAGGCGTGGCAAGAGCAGGGTGGTCAGAAGGCACCCCCAAGGCCTCTGCCCGTCCCGGTCCCCTATTCCAGGAGTTCACAGGCAGAGTTTCACCTTGACCACAAGGCTCTGACTTCAAAAGGGTAAAAGCAGGACCGGAGTCCCAGGATCCCCTTCAAAGATCTCTGCCCCTTTATCCATGAGGAAGTCCTTCCGGCTAAACCCAGTCCTCGCTGCAGCCACCTCACTCCCTTCTAGGTCCCATCCCTCCCCGCTGCCTTCTTCCGTCTGTGCTCATGGCCTCTTGACCCCTATTAGAATGTCCCTCCTTGAGTCTTACTTCAGTTCTTCTTGCTTTAGAGGCACTTCATTGCTAAAAGTTGGGGTCCAGGACCTAGCAGATCCCCTAGCCATTGGTCCGCCTTCTCCCATCCTTGACCTTTTCTTCTCAGATGCTCTCCTCTCCTCCTACTGCCCCTTCGCCACCGATAGAAAGTTCTTTTGCAAGTTTCCTGAGTCCTTTCTGGTGCACACTGACCCCTTCCCTCTCAAGGATAAACTGGCGGGCGATGACTCATATGTTTTGCTCCTCACTTCGGAAAGAACCCCCATGCCTAGCGGCAAGGCCTTCCTGGCCTCAGTGGTTCCTTTAACCCCTGGGACCTGCTCTTGCTCCCTCCCCACCCACAAGCCCCCAGTGTCCACCCACCGCTCCTCACCCCCATAAGGAATGTCTGTGGAGTCTACCCTGGCCCCTTCTTACTGCAGGAAGGGACCATTTCCTATCAGGTGTGAAGAAATGACGGTGAAAACGCTTTGAGGGGAGTGTGGCAGGGACTGCGGGTGAGGGCAGGGCCTGAACCGACACCCGTTGGGGTCTCTAAGACACTAGAACTTAACACCATTTCGGGGAAATGGGGCCAGAGCCGGGAAGAGTCCCACAGGGTCTGGGTGAGGCCAGAGGTGGCAGCAGCCGGCGCTGACGGTTGACCCTCAGACAAAAGCGGCTTGTCTGGGCGGTGGGAGGGAGGGGAAGAGGGAGGAGGGGCAGGGAGGGCAGGCGCCCAGCGCTGCCTATTTAAGGCAGCAAGACCGGCCAGCTCTGTTGCAGACACCCCCTCCCCCCTGCTTCCCACTCCGGTGACTGCTCTCCTGGGCCCCATCCCCCTCCTCCCCCCACCGAGAACGGAAGCCCCCATCTGGGCTTGTTTATGGCAAGAAAGGCAACAAGACAGTCCACTTTGGGCTCCTGCTCTGGGTGTGCAGAGCTGCTCAGGGTGGCGTCATCTTTGAGCCAAACCCAGAAAAGCAGGCGAGTTTGTGCAGCATCAGGGGCGGCTAACAAACCAATCAGAATTGCCCACATGCCCCTGTCATGCCTCCTACTAATCGCCCCCTTGCTCACTGCACTAGCCACACTGGCCTCGCTGTCCCCTGAACACGCCTGGCATGTTCCCACCTCAGGAGCATGTGTCCCCCGCATCTCCTTCTGCCTCATTCCCTGGCTTCATTCAGAAACTTCGCTCACCCCATCCCTGCTCCCACCCTCTCTCCAAAATAGCTCCCTGTCATGTTGCACTCCGGGTGCCCTGCCTCTTCCCCTACACAGCGGTAATGCCCTCCCCGCTTAAAGTTATAGATCAGGCTGGCATTTGTTCATTGTCTCTCGCACTGGAATGTCAGGCCCTGGAGGGCAGAGAGACTTAACTGTTTTGTTCACTCCTGCACCTTCCCAACCTCCAGTGCCTAGAACAGTGCCTGGCACAAAGTAGGTGCTCAGGAAAGTTTCCGCGAAGGAATGAATGTGTAGAGCAGAATGCTATACAACAGGTAAAATGGAAGGAAGCCATTTCTGCACGGAACCATCCCCAAGATGAGAGCGTTGAGTGGAGAAAGGGAAGGGCAGGATGTGTAGTGGGAGGCTGGGTCAGAATTACCCGGAAAGCATGTTAAAACCCGAATTGCTGGATCCCTCCAGAACTTCTGGTTCCAGGCAGGAGCCCCCAAAATAGCATTGCTAACCGGTCCCCGTGTGAGGTTCTAGTCCAGTGGGGCTCATTTTGAAAACCACTGGCATAGTCTCTGGGACCTCACCCACTAAGTCACTGGAGTTTGTACAAAAGCAAAGCAAAACTTGATATTTTGGGTGTGTAAACCGTTTCTGCCAGAAGATGCATCAAAGAGGTCTGGAGGGACGCACAAGGTGGCCCAGAGGTGATTTCAGGGGAGAGGATGCATTTAGGGAGTCAAGCGAGGGCTCAGGGTCCCGGCTGGGAGAAGGACACGGCGGAGGAGGCATCGTTTGGGTCCTAGTTACCAGGGTTCGGATTCAGCAGCTGGCGCTTCCCAGCTGTGTGACCCTGAGCAGGTCACTTTACCTCTCTGGGCCGTGGTCTCCTCATCTGTAACAGGGCATCCTTCAACCCCCTCCCTTATGGGGTTGTTGTGAGAATGCAATGAGTTAAAACAGCAGTTCCTGTTAAGCACTAAAGAAATGCTAGCTTTTATGGTCACATGAAAGCTCTGAATTTCCAACAAGGAAAATATAAAATCACATTTACTTGTGTAATTAAAAATAAATGCTGGTGAGTTCTCCAGGTCTAATTTCAATGCTGCCACTGCAGGGAAGGCAGGAGTTTGGGGGACAGAAAGGAGAGGCCTCCTCTTTGTGCCTGGACGGCCCCCCCACAACTCTCCCTCCCTCAGTCTATTCTAAATCTGACCTCATTCTTTCCAGCTGCAAAGGCATGAATCTTTAAAAGACCAGAAGGTCTTTGGTCTGAATCTGGCTCCCCATTTGCCCACAATGCCTAGTGGGCTTGAGGGTGTCGAGCTCAAGCAGGTTTAACATGAGTGTGGTTAGGGCTCCTGGAGACCTAACCCCTTTGCCCAAACTTTTTCAGACCTTTGTTCCTCCCCTAGTCTGTGCCCAACTCCCTTGAGCTCCGTTAGGAAGTCCTTCTGCGAGTCTAACTTAAGTCTTTCTTGCTGGAAGGGGACCTTCTTCCTTGGTGGGAGAGAATAGGACCCTCCCACCCCTCCCCTAGGTTCTTGCCTGTTCTCTCTGCCATACCCTGTTCCTGCATCCCCATCATTATTATTAGAAACTAATGAAGTCTGGCATCAGTGTTCTTGCTTCAAAGGGATTGGGAGGGGTAAGTAGTAAGACAGAGGCTCAGGAGTGAGTAGAAACCTCCACCCCCTCTTCAGAAGGACCCAGGAACCCCTAACACCAGAGGGATTTATATTTAGCGCTTCTCCGCTCCTCTCTGCGGGGCTGTCTCCCTCCCCTGCCTGCCGCCTCCTCCCTGAGCTGGGACAGAGCTTTGCCTGGAGACTGTGTGTGTGTGTGTGTGTGTGATGGGTATGGGTGAGGGGAGAGGCCTCTCTACTACCACCTCGTGGTGCCTGGGGGGGCGGGGGGCTGAGAGTCAGAGATGGGGAATGGGAGGGGGGAAGGGAAGGGAGACTCT